GCCCCACAGGGGAGGGGGGTCGCCCCCCTGGGGAGGGGATTGTCCCACAGGGGGATGGGGCTGGCCCCCCCATGGAAAGGGATGGAATTGCCTGACAGGGGACAGGGATCACCCCATGGGGGACAGGGATGGGGACGGCCTCCCCAGGGAGGGGAGGGGACCACCCCCCAGGGGATGGGGATCACCCCCCCAGGGAGATGATGGGATCACCCCCCAGGGGATGGGGATAGGGACTGCCCTGCCAGGGAGGGGATGGGGTTGCTCCCTGGGGGATGGGGATCACCCCCCCCTCCCAGGGAGAGGACACTGAGGGGATCACCCCCCTGGGGATGGGGATCACCCCCCCGGGGATGGGGATCACTCCCCCGGGGAGGAATAGGATTACTCCATGGGGGATGGGGACACTCCGGTCCGTGGGTATGGGGGAGATGAGGGGCACCAGGGAGGGATGGGGACACTCCGGTCCGTGGGTATGGGGGAGATGAGGGGCACCAGGGAGGGATGGGGACACTCCGGTCCGTGGGTATGGGGGAGATGAGGGGCACCAGGGAGGGATGGGGACACTCCGGTCCGTGGGTATGGGGGAGATGAGGGGCACCAGGGAGGGATGGGGACACTCCGGTCCGTGGGTATGGGGGAGATGAGGGGCACCAGGGAGGGATGGGGACACTCCGGTCCGTGGGTATGGGGGAGATGAGGGGCACCAGGGAGGGATGGGGACACTCCGGTCCGTGGGTATGGGGGAGATGAGGGGCACCAGGGAGGGATGGGGACACTCCGGTCCGTGGGTATGGGGGAGATGAGGGGCACCAGGGAGGGATGGGGACACTCCGGTCCGTGGGTATGGGGGAGATGAGGGGCACCAGGGAGGGATGGGGACACTCCGGTCCGTGGGTATGGGGGAGATGAGGGGCACCAGGGAGGGATGGGGACACTCCGGTCCGTGGGTATGGGGGAGATGAGGGGCACCAGGGAGGGATGGGGACACTCCGGTCCGTGGGTATGGGGGAGATGAGGGGCACCAGGGAGGGATGGGGACACTCCGGTCCGTGGGTATGGGGGAGATGAGGGGCACCAGGGAGGGATGGGGACACTCCGGTCCGTGGGTATGGGGGAGATGAGGGGCACCAGGGAGGGATGGGGACACTCCGGTCCGTGGGTATGGGGGAGATGAGGGGCACCAGGGAGGGATGGGGACACTCCGGTCCGTGGGTATGGGGGAGATGAGGGGCACCAGGGAGGGATGGGGACACTCCGGTCCGTGGGTATGGGGGAGATGAGGGGCACCAGGGAGGGATGGGGACACTCCGGTCCGTGGGTATGGGGGAGATGAGGGGCACCAGGGAGGGATGGGGACACTCCGGTCCGTGGGTATGGGGGAGATGAGGGGCACCAGGGAGGGATGGGGACACTCCGGTCCGTGGGTATGGGGGAGATGAGGGGCACCAGGGAGGGATGGGGACACTCCGGTCCGTGGGTATGGGGGAGATGAGGGGCACCAGGGAGGGATGGGGACACTCCGGTCCGTGGGTATGGGGGAGATGAGGGGCACCAGGGAGGGATGGGGACACTCCGGTCCGTGGGTATGGGGGAGATGAGGGGCACCAGGGAGGGATGGGGACACTCCGGTCCGTGGGTATGGGGGAGATGAGGGGCACCAGGGAGGGATGGGGACACTCCGGTCCGTGGGTATGGGGGAGATGAGGGGCACCAGGGAGGGATGGGGACACTCCGGTCCGTGGGTATGGGGGAGATGAGGGGCACCAGGGAGGGATGGGGACACTCCGGTCCGTGGGTATGGGGGAGATGAGGGGCACCAGGGAGGGATGGGGACACTCCGGTCCGTGGGTATGGGGGAGATGAGGGGCACCAGGGAGGGATGGGGACACTCCGGTCCGTGGGTATGGGGGAGATGAGGGGCACCAGGGAGGGATGGGGACACTCCGGTCCGTGGGTATGGGGGAGATGAGGGGCACCAGGGAGGGATGGGGACACTCCGGTCCGTGGGTATGGGGGAGATGAGGGGCACCAGGGAGGGATGGGGACACTCCGGTCCGTGGGTATGGGGGAGATGAGGGGCACCAGGGAGGGATGGGGACACTCCGGTCCGTGGGTATGGGGGAGATGAGGGGCACCAGGGAGGGATGGGGACACTCCGGTCCGTGGGTATGGGGGAGATGAGGGGCACCAGGGAGGGATGGGGACACTCCGGTCCGTGGGTATGGGGGAGATGAGGGGCACCAGGGAGGGATGGGGACACTCCGGTCCGTGGGTATGGGGGAGATGAGGGGCACCAGGGAGGGATGGGGACACTCCGGTCCGTGGGTATGGGGGAGATGAGGGGCACCAGGGAGGGATGGGGACACTCCGGTCCGTGGGTATGGGGGAGATGAGGGGCACCAGGGAGGGATGGGGACACTCCGGTCCGTGGGTATGGGGGAGATGAGGGGCACCAGGGAGGGATGGGGACACTCCGGTCCGTGGGTATGGGGGAGATGAGGGGCACCAGGGAGGGATGGGGACACTCCGGTCCGTGGGTATGGGGGAGATGAGGGGCACCAGGGAGGGATGGGGACACTCCGGTCCGTGGGTATGGGGGAGATGAGGGGCACCAGGGAGGGATGGGGACACTCCGGTCCGTGGGTATGGGGGAGATGAGGGGCACCAGGGAGGGATGGGGACACTCCGGTCCGTGGGTATGGGGGAGATGAGGGGCACCAGGGAGGGATGGGGACACTCCGGTCCGTGGGTATGGGGGAGATGAGGGGCACCAGGGAGGGATGGGGACACTCCGGTCCGTGGGTATGGGGGAGATGAGGGGCACCAGGGAGGGATGGGGACACTCCGGTCCGTGGGTATGGGGGAGATGAGGGGCACCAGGGAGGGATGGGGACACTCCGGTCCGTGGGTATGGGGGAGATGAGGGGCACCAGGGAGGGATGGGGACACTCCGGTCCGTGGGTATGGGGGAGATGAGGGGCACCAGGGAGGGATGGGGACACTCCGGTCCGTGGGTATGGGGGAGATGAGGGGCACCAGGGAGGGATGGGGACACTCCGGTCCGTGGGTATGGGGGAGATGAGGGGCACCAGGGAGGGATGGGGACACTCCGGTCCGTGGGTATGGGGGAGATGAGGGGCACCAGGGAGGGATGGGGACACTCCGGTCCGTGGGTATGGGGGAGATGAGGGGCACCAGGGAGGGATGGGGACACTCCGGTCCGTGGGTATGGGGGAGATGAGGGGCACCAGGGAGGGATGGGGACACTCCGGTCCGTGGGTATGGGGGAGATGAGGGGCACCAGGGAGGGATGGGGACACTCCGGTCCGTGGGTATGGGGGAGATGAGGGGCACCAGGGAGGGATGGGGACACTCCGGTCCGTGGGTATGGGGGAGATGAGGGGCACCAGGGAGGGATGGGGACACTCCGGTCCGTGGGTATGGGGGAGATGAGGGGCACCAGGGAGGGATGGGGACACTCCGGTCCGTGGGTATGGGGGAGATGAGGGGCACCAGGGAGGGATGGGGACACTCCGGTCCGTGGGTATGGGGGAGATGAGGGGCACCAGGGAGGGATGGGGACACTCCGGTCCGTGGGTATGGGGGAGATGAGGGGCACCAGGGAGGGATGGGGACACTCCGGTCCGTGGGTATGGGGGAGATGAGGGGCACCAGGGAGGGATGGGGACACTCCGGTCCGTGGGTATGGGGGAGATGAGGGGCACCAGGGAGGGATGGGGACACTCCGGTCCGTGGGTATGGGGGAGATGAGGGGCACCAGGGAGGGATGGGGACACTCCGGTCCGTGGGTATGGGGGAGATGAGGGGCACCAGGGAGGGATGGGGACACTCCGGTCCGTGGGTATGGGGGAGATGAGGGGCACCAGGGAGGGATGGGGACACTCCGGTCCGTGGGTATGGGGGAGATGAGGGGCACCAGGGAGGGATGGGGACACTCCGGTCCGTGGGTATGGGGGAGATGAGGGGCACCAGGGAGGGATGGGGACACTCCGGTCCGTGGGTATGGGGGAGATGAGGGGCACCAGGGAGGGATGGGGACACTCCGGTCCGTGGGTATGGGGGAGATGAGGGGCACCAGGGAGGGATGGGGACACTCCGGTCCGTGGGTATGGGGGAGATGAGGGGCACCAGGGAGGGATGGGGACACTCCGGTCCGTGGGTATGGGGGAGATGAGGGGCACCAGGGAGGGATGGGGACACTCTGGTCCGTGGGTATGGGGGAGATGAGGGGCACCAGGGCTGGGCTGAGGTGGGGCTGGGGGTGCAGGCGTGTAGCTGTGGGCATGGCGGGGGCCGGACAGAGCTTTGTCTCCAATCCCTCTAATCCCTCCTGTGGGAGTTAATTTTGGTCTGCGCTTAATGAAGGTGACACTGCTGTTGGCTTGGGGGGGGACGGGGTTTGGGGGTCTCACTTTGCCCTCATTCCTTGTGTGCCCGTGCTGAGGAGCGGGAGCTGTCTCCGGAGGAGCTGGACGGTGAGTATGGGGGTGCGAAGGATGCCCACAGCTATCTATGGGGCTGGCCCATGGGCATAGGGGGCGCCTCGTCTGCCGTGGAGCGCAGAGCCAGGGAGACACATCCCATGGGGATGCGTGCCACGGGGAGGCATCCACAGTGGTGCCCGTGGCTGATGGGGGTCCGCATGCACGCGTGTGCGTGCGCGGGGGAGCTGCTGGATGCCTTCAAGGAGTTTGACACGGACCAGGACGGCTTCATCAGCTACAAGGACCTGGGCGCCTGCATGCGCACCCTGGGGTACATGCCCACCGAGATGGAGCTCATTGAGATCTCGCAGCACATCAAGATGAGGAGTGAGCAGAGGACTGGCTTCCGTGGGGACATGTGGCTGGGACACGAGGATGGGGACAGGGCATGGTGGGGCTGAGGCAGGGGGACAGCACCACAGGGGGCTGGGGCATGGGGATAGTGAGACAAAGTCACAGGTGGGCCATTGGGACAGGGCCGTGGGGGGTTGGAACATGGAGGGCACAGGGCTGGGGACAGAGACCCCCCGGGGCAGTGCTGAGCCCATGCCTCTCCCATGGTGCAGTGGGTGGCCGCGTGGACTTCGAGGACTTTGTGCAGATGATGGGCCCAAAGCTGCGGGAGGAGACAGCCCACATGGTGGGCGTGCGGGAGCTCAAGATTGCCTTCCGTGAGGTACAGCCACCACAGGGAGGCCATGGCCATGGGGAGGCCACGGGGGGACTGTAGACGTGGGGAGACCCTGGCCATAGCAAGACCACAGGACGACCACAGCCATGGGAGTGGACCACAGTCAGGGAGGTCCACAGCCACAAGAAGACTATAGAGAAACCAGGGCCACAAAGAGGACCATGGACACGTTGTGACCATGTCCAGGAGGGTGACCACAGGCATGGAAGGGACCACAACTATGGGAAAACTATGGGGGAACCACAACTGTGGGAGAACCAGGACCATGAGGGTGACCATGGCCACAGAGGAGGACATGGTCATGGAAGTGCGCCACACTCAGGGAGGTCCAAAGCTACAAGAAGACTGTAGGGGGGGACAACAGCTGCAGAGCAGACCATGGCCACAAAGGGAGCATGTCTAGGGGGGTGATCACAGGCATAGAGAGGACAAGAACCACAGGAAAACCATGGAGGGACCACAACTATGGGTAGACTAGGACCATGAGGGTGACCATGGTCATGAGGGGACCACGTTTGGGGGGGACCATGACCATAAGGGTGACCACGGCCACAGAGAGAGGATCGCAGGGGCCAGGCAAGGAGGCTGAGGGGCCATGTGTGGGGAGGCTGTGGGGCTTGGGCTGCCCCCCCAACCTGCTGGTGCCACAGTTCGATGTGAACGGGGATGGGGAGATCAGCAGTGCGGAGATGCGGGAGGCCATCGCAGCGCTGCTGGGGGAGCAGCTCAAGGCACAGGAGGTGGATGAGATTCTGCAGGACGTGGACCTCAACGGGGACGGTCACGTGGACTTTGACGGTGAGGGGACACCTCACGGCCCCAGGGTCCCCTGGCCTGATGGCTCCAGGGGTGGTCCCCAAGTGTCATGAGGGGGGCTGGGGACTGCAGGGGTGGCTCAGCCCTGCATCCGCCCAACTCTCTCCTCTCTCATCCCACAGAGTTCGTCATGATGCTGTCTTCCCGATAACGAAGTCGTGGGGCAGGAGGGCATACAGGGCTGAGCCGCGCCACTCCCCCCTACACGGCCCTTGTCAGCAGATCCAGGCACGTCCCCATCCCCCCAGATACTCCCTGCCTGGTGAGCATTGATCATCCTAGCCTCTCTGGCCAGCATTAGGGTTCAGAGTGAACAGTTGGAGCTGAGCCCACATCTAGGAGCCAGCATGAGGCAGGGCAGACACGAGACACCACCCCCCACCCCAAAACCCCCGGGGGGTAGCAGGGCCAGGGTGGGCTAGGTGAAACCCAATAAAGCTCCTTGTGCAGACGTGGAGAAAATTGCCTGCTGGTTGTGTGGCAGGGTGGGGTTTGGGTAGGTCAGCACCTGCAGGGGGGAAAAGGGGGGTCTCTCCAGCTGCCCTGTATGGCCCCATGTCCTTGGCAGGGTGCAGGCAGGTTGCAGACAGGGTGCGTGCAGGTAGGTTGTAGGCAGGGTGCATGCAGGGTGCATGCAGGATGCAGGTAGGTTGCAGATGGGGTGCAGGCAGGGTTCGGGCAGGGTGTGTGCAGGGTGCAGGCAGGGTGCGTGCAGGATGTGGGCAGGTTGCATGCAGGTTGCAGGTAGATTGCAGGCAGGGTGCAGACGGTGTGTGCAGGGTGCGTGCGGGGTGCGTGCAGGGTGCCGGTAGGTTGCAGGCAGGGTGTTGGCAGGTCCCCGGGAATGCTGGGGCCGGCAGCTGGGAGGGATCTGGTGCATCCCTAAGGGGGTAAGGCAGAAGTCTGGGATGTACTAGGATGGGCCCCAGGGGGACAGGACACGTCCCCTGGCAGGGTCCTAGGGCATGGCCCTGGGGGCAGGACAAGGACCCAGAGCGTCCCAGGAAGGGTGCCCACCTGGTGGTGACAGTGTGTGTGTGGGAGAGGTCTTACCCCTCTTGTGGGAGGGGCAGAGATGGGAGCCATGGTGCCCACGGGGCAGCCCCAGGATGGGGGTCCCAGAGGGCTCAGGGTCCCTGTCCCCCTGCTGGCTCCATGGTGTAGGGGTCATCACGTCTGCTTTACACGCAGAAGGGCCTGGGTTCGAGCCCCAGTGGAGCCAGTGCTCTCCTTTTCCCCTTCTGCAGGGCTCTGCTGGCCTGTGTTTGGGGAGGTGGAGGAGCTGGGGCACCTCTGGGTGCCAGCAGCCCCCCAAGGGGCAAAGGCAACGGGTGCCCATGGGGCAGTGCTGCCCGCAGGGACACTTTGGGAACAGGAGAACAGGAGGCTTTTTCTTGCAGGGGGATGGGGATAGTCCCTGAGGCAGGCACCCCTGGGGGCTCTGCTTTGGGCCTGCCTGGGGAGGGACAGGGCCAGCTGCCCTGTGACCGTCCCCACTTGCATCCCACTGGGGACACCCTGGGGCAAAAAAAGAGACCCTGGGAGGGGCAAAAGCCCTGAGCTGTGGTGGCTGCACTGGGGCTTGAACCCAGGCCCTTCTGTGTGTAAATCAGACGTGATGACCCCTACACCATGGAGCCAGCTGG